ATCTCTCCTGTTTCATCATGCATCATAGTTTTCACCAAAAAATTGGCTTGGGCTATTTTGGCCTCAATGGCTGTCTTGTATTGACTGGAGTGCAAAAGTACCAGTCAAAAGTATCTCAAGCAAAAGTACCCCAATGGCAAAAAAATAAAATTAAATTAAAAAAAAATCAATTGGAGTTGTAGGGAAATGTTGGTTCTCTGAGACCAGTGATTCCTAAACTTTGGTCCTCCAGGTGTTTTGGACTTCAGCTCCCAGAAGATCTAGTTGACTTGGACAAAAGTCAGGAATTCTGGGAGCTGAAGACAAAAATATATGGAGGACCAAAGTTTGGAAAACACTGTACTAGACATAAATGTACAAGCCAAATATGTGAAATGTATAGATACTGTTTACACTTGTGCAGGTTATTATACATACTGTTTTGGGCAGATTCTACATCAAAGACCATGGAGGACTAAAGTGTCCTAGCCTTATGGGTGATGATTACAAGATTGCGCTGCAGAGGAGCGTGATAGAAATAAATTTTATTATTTGTTATTATTATAAGAGCTGAAAGTAGTACAATGAATACATTCATTTCTTTTTTCCCAGCACCATCAGACTGATCAAACAGGTTGTAGTATTTCAGCTATCTCTTTGACAAGATAGAAAAGAAAAGAATGTGCATCCCAGACAATAATGGTTCTATTGTACCATGCTCAACTCTCCTAAAATATGTTCTCTTGCAACCTGTGCCAAATATTTCTGCATGGTTGCAATAACACTAGTGACAGTGCAGTCTTGTGCATGTTATTTAGAAATAGGTCCACCTAAGTTTAATAGGACTTTGTTTGTTATGTGCCTTCAGTTGTTATGTGCTTTCAAGTGAACTTTGACTTCTGGCTACATAGTTTTGTCTTGGCAATTCATTCATTCATTCATTCGAGGTAGTTTGCCTTTGTCTTCCTCTAAAGCTGAAAGGGTGTGACTTGCTCAAGTATGTTTCCATGGCTCAGCAGGGATTCAAACCCTGATTCTCCCAAAGTCCAGCACTTGAACAACTACACCATTCTGGTTCTTCAACAGGACTCTAGAGCCAGTGTGGTGTAATGGTTTTGAGCATTGGACTGCAGCTCTGGAGACCACGTTCTGAAACCCTGCTTGGCCATGGAAAGCCATCGGGTGACCTTAGGTAAATCACACTCTCAGCCTCAGAAAAAGGCAAAGGCAAACTCCCTTTGAGCAAATCTTGCCAAGAAATCTCTGTGATAGGCTTGCATTAGGATCAGCGTAAGTGACTCCAAGGGACACAACAACTTCCTAGTAAGTGCAGCTAGGACTGCATCATAACTGTGAAAATTGTCCTTAAGTGTAGTATCCGTTGTTCTCTTCAGATTCCTGAGATTCTTTCTTAAAGAGGAAGCTTTTAGCCCCTGCTGCTTGTAGAATAAAATGTATGTGACACTGCAGTAGAATGCACTGAAATATTTTCTCACTTTCAAAATATCTGATTGAATAATGGTGAAAGGATAAAGAGGGTCAATGTGCTATATTTATTTTAGCGTTGGATTATGACTCTGGAGACCAGGGTTTGAATCCCTGCTAGGCCATGGAAACTGACTGAGTGACCTTGGGCAAGTCACACTATCTCAGCCTCTGGGGAAGGCAAAGAAAACCATCTCTGAACAAATTTTGCCAAGAAACCCCCATGATAGAGTTGCCTTAGTGTCACCATTAAGTCAGAAACTACCTGAAAGCAAACAATAACAATGAAGGAAGTCCTTAGCTCCTCCCTTAGTATTTTGCCCATGAAATTCATTTCCCCAGGCTGCCACCTTTTTTCAAGATAAAGATGAGTCCAAAACAGTGTCCAGCTACAAAAGTAGCTGAGAAGGGAGTATTGGAGAAGGGATGCTAGGACAGTTTGCAAGAGAAAAGGAGTCATTTGGACTTAGATGCAACTTCGGTGTGATACCTAATTTACCTCTTGGATCAAAGCATAACAAGGGAAGGGCAGCATCATTTAGTGATGCTCATGGTCTGATCATTCAAGGAATGGTTGAAAGAGATGCTAAGCATGGAGAAGAGAAAGTTAAGGGAAGACAAAATAGTTGACTTCAAAAATCTGAAAGGTTATTGCATTTAAGGTTATTGCATTTGTCCGTTGTTCTAGAAGTAGGTGCCATTTAATGGGGGACAGTTTTCGCTTCCTTCCCCTCACCCTCATGCTCATCTGATAGAGACATGGGAGAAGGCCTCCTTGGTGGCAGCTCCTAGGCTTTGGAACTCCCTTCCTAGAGAGGCTAGAATGATGCCCTCCTTGTTATCCTCCTGTAGGCAAGTGAAGGCTTGTTTTGTTTTGGCTAGCCTTTAAGCAGAGACTGGTCATGGGGAAAGATCCTTTAATAATGTCTGTATTGGTATTTTCTATATTTGTTCATATTTCCTTTTTTAATAAGCATGCTTTTAACTCTAACTTTTGTATACTGTGAACTGTTGTCTGTTGAACTGGTGTATCTGTTGTCAAGTTGCCTTGAGGCCAAGGGCTGGGGAAGAAAAGGGTGAGGGCAAGAGGAGGATAAAAACTAATGGATGGAATTTTTAGGGAATAGATTTTCAGTAAACTTTAAGAAAAAGTTCCTTGTTGTAAGAGTTCTTCAACAGTGGAATAAACTGCTTCAGAAGGTGATCAGATTTCCTACACTGGAGATATTAAATAGTCACCCATCAGAGATGTTCTAGTTATTTCTTGGATTGCAGATCCCGCACTGAACACAAAGCCAGAATAAATGTGCTTTCTCCAGCCTAACATCGTGCAGATGTTCCAGACTAGAATTTCCATCATCACCAACCAGTAACTGGCTGGCTTCTGCATTGAGGACATCTGGTACAAGATTATCTCCATGGTCCTTCCAGCTTTTTGGGGAAAAAAATTACTTATTTTCCCAACTAACTATTCCTAGGCATACTATTATATTGTGGCACAGCACAGCTGAGCAAAGTCTGCCTTCCTCCAAACTGGTGCTGGCCTGCAAACCTCAGCATTCTTCTCTCTTGATTCTACTGTCTGGGAATTAGGGAAACTGCAGTTCCACAATTTATGGAGAGCCTAACTTGCCCAATGCTGCTCTACTGGATGCAGGTGGTATTGTCCCAGCAAGCACTGTCATTGTAGTGAAGTTACATTTCAGTCATTCCAAACTACTCAACCTTCCACCCAGAAGGTTAAACCAGTGCACCAGCATGCTCTTTGTGATTGAGCGCTATTGTGGCATATTCCTTTAATCTGGATTTCACCTTGAATGTCAGTGTCAGTCCCAAGCTTTGGAGAAACATTGGGCAAGATCTTTTCAATGGACCACCTTAAATAAATTCACTATCACCTCCTTACCAATATTGTGCTTAGCTTGGTTCTACAGACCCAAATCCCATAGACAGAGAGCCCCAACCCAACATACCATTCAAAATATGCATTTGGGCTTGGAAGAGATGGACAGAAAGTAATTTATAGCTATAAATGCAAACGGATTTCCATAATGTATAGCATGGGTGAGCCCACTTCAGACTTGAGGCATCTACCTTATCATTTTTCACTAGAACCCTAAGAACCACTAACTGGATCCTGGTGCAAGAGATATACACTTTGCACAAAAGAAGGCTGAGCACAGAAACTTGTCTGGAGTGCCAGAATTGAATGGAGTCCACATTCCTTCCTCCATATGCAGAAATCTGCCCTCAGATAACCCAAACCATTGTTCTTTTTAGTAGTGTGACATGAGGGAGGACTTTTATAGTTTTGTTGCTGCTTATTGTGAAACATCTGGAAGACAGGGAGCCTTGCCAATCTACTTAAGATCAATAAAACTCACCAGTAGATCCAGCTTACTTTCTGCCCATCTCATCCAAGCCCAAATACATTTTTTGCCTCAGAACAAACCCATATAAAAGTAAAGCATCTACCTTGAAGCCACCTGTCGAGTGAGGGCAGATCTCTGAATTTCACAGGGCTTTCAAAGTCAATGAAGAATACCACTGTAATTCTTAGCAGATAGCTGGAAGACAAAAGCTGATGCATGAGTGCCACCTACAGGAATTTTAATAACTTATTTAAGTATGGTAAAGAGAGCCACAATTTGTTGTATTTGGAGGAATAAACATCTTATAAAGCTTTCTGACTGAAATGTGTTCGCCTAAATTCTAAGTGACATACATTCCCATTTCCCCACACTCCAGATATCCTGTTAAATTCCTTTCACACACAAATCTCCTCCCATTCCTCCTCCAAACCTCTGTGATTTCAGCAACCTAATTTAGGGAAACAAAAGTTAAATGACTGAGAATTGAAAACATTTTCAAAACATTTGGAGAGCTACCAGTAAATTCTGATCTACGTTACACAAAGAGAAAGATTGACAGAGACACAATCCATCGGAGTGGGCAATGTACCACCCAGAAAGCTTTGGTAATTGTGTGGTTTTACAGTCTAATAAATAAATAAATGGACGAGCCTAGAGCTTGGAAATATTACTTTTTTACTTTCCCTGCTTTTCCATTACATAAATAAAACTCCTGCAAACCCTATGGGATGGGTGCATGCTTTCTCTCTGCACGATAAATTCAGCTGGCCATGCCTCCTAATAGTACAGTCAGGGTAAAGCTATAGTTGAGCCGTTTGAGCTGGGAGCCAGGATGTTCCTAACTCAGATCTCATAGTTGCCATGAATTGTTTCCTTAGGAAATCAACCCTCTTTAAACTTCATTGCTTGTCCATCTCTTTAAAAATACAGTATTTAAATATGGCCTACTGTACAAGTTGTCTTCCAGTATAGCTGCAATGACATTTGTGAAACCATTTGAATACTAAGAATGTAACAACCACCATACTAGATCAGACCAAGGGCCTCTCTGTACAAACTTTCCCTTCACACAATGCCAGTTAAGATTGCTGTGGGAAGGCTGCACATGTTGATGTTAATTGCCTGCTATTATTTTGCTTTTGACTTAGGTGAATGAGAGAGTGAGCCAGCATGGTAGAGTGGTTTGAGCGTTGGACTATGACTCTGGAGACCAGGGTTCAAATTCCTGCTTGGCCATGGAAACTCACTGGGTGACCTTGGGCAAGTCACAGTCTCTCAGCCTCAGAGGACAGTGAAGGCAAATCCACTCAGAAAAAAATATTGCCAAGAAAACTCTGTGATAGGTTTGCCTTAAGGTTGCCGTAAGTCAGAAATGACTTTAAGGCAGACAACAACAATGAATGAAAGATCTCCAAGTCACCCTGTTATCAACAGCCCTACTCAGATCTTGCAGACTGAGTCACGGCTTCCTTGATTGTATCTATTCACCTGTAATGCAGTTTTCTTCTTTCTTCCTGCCTTCTACTTTGCCAAGCATTATTATCTTTTCCAATGTGTCGTATCTTCTCATATGCCCAAAGTATGACAATCTCAGTTTAGTCATCTTGCCTAACTATATCCATTTATTTGTCATTTTAGGAGTCCTCCAGCACCACATTTTAAATAAGTTGATTTTCATCATATCAGCTTTTTTTCACTATCCAGCTTTCACAACCAAACATATAAATGGAAAATATGATGGCATGGACAATCTTGACTATAATATTCAATTGTATATCATTACACTTGAGGCTCTTGTCTAGTTTGTTCATAGCTGCCCTGATGAGCACAATAGCATCTTCTGTACAATAAAATTCCAAAAGCACAATATATTATTTATTATTACAATTATTAAAAATGAGGCAGATTGCCAAAGCTCATGACAACTGTGCAAAAGACGAGCAGCACAAGAATACTGAATCATTTAAATTGGCTCTGGGTATTTCAGAGGCTGATGAAGAGCATGCTGTTATTAACAATCTACTTATTAGGATTTTTGGCTGGCATGTGCTACTGGCAAAGAACCCTGTTAAGGATTGCTCATAGGAGCAGTACTTAATCTAGATGTATTTCAGAGCAAATAGAATGAAAGGATTTATCTTTAAGTATGCCAACAATACAATATTGATGCTTATTGGGGGAAACAGTGTCAGGAATTCTTGGTATTAGCAGTTTAATATGTGAGTCATGTGAAAACCTGATTTTGACAAAATAAGGGAGTATTTATTTTCAAACATATGCACCACAGAGAAAGTTCTGTACAGAAGCAATACACAATAAAATCACCCATATAGTAAAATACCTTACCTAGACAGGCAGGTAGAAAGGGACACTATGATTTGCAACAACATCCAACTCCCAATTGTCAGAAAATAAGAAAGCATCTCTCTTCTCCTTCTGAAATTGACTGCTGAAATGAAAATAGCTTGGAATGACCAGGCATGGATTTTTGTGCTGAAATTTTTTAAGCTTTGTTCAAATTCTGGCAGTCCGAACAAGTTTCGCAGTTCAGAACTCTGGAATTCTAATGATCTCTTCAGATGTTCTGAAAACAAACAGAATAAATGGGAGAGGAGATGCAGTATGCTAGACCCACTCTGTCCATTATTTTTGACATTCTCTTGCCCCTGAAGGTGACTAACTAAAGGGGAATGGCTCCCCATGTAGAGATACTTGCCATGGTAGGCCCAACATTATTATTGGACAGAGTGAGGCAACAGCTTTAGATGGAAGATGATTATGCCAGGAGTACCAGCTTTTATGCCTTCCTCTTTATTCTCCTGGCCATTCTTGTCTGTTAAGAGGGCAGAGATGTATGCACCATCTAACCTCCTAAACCAGAACTTCGAAAAAAGTTATTTTTAGACTACACCCTTCAACCAGTATGGCCAGTGGTTATGCTTGTTGCAGAATACTGAGAGCTGTATTCTTTAGAAAGCAACTTTGCACCTAAGATAGCCTGATGCCTTCAAAGCCAGTGAAGTACTGCCAGAAAGTATTATTGTTATGTTAAAACTACTCCGGGCCCTAAGATTTCAGAGCCCAATCCTTAGACAAGTGGTTCCCAAACTTTGGTCCTCCAGATATTTTGGACTTCGGCTCCCAGAATTCCTGTTTGCCAAGCTGACTAGGGCTGCTGGGAGCTGAAGTCCCCAACATTTAAGTTTGGTAACTACTGCCTTAGACCCAGGGATAACACACTCTCATAGTGTCACAGAGGCAGGAACTGACAAGTGTAATGTTACATGGGGCAGCCACTGAAGTTGTCATTAAAAATCAGCCAGTCGCTCAGAGTTCGCCATTCAAAGACCAAATCTAAGAAATGAAGAATATACATACATACACAGAACATTTTCAAAGCAGTTCTCTCACCCTGAGATTCCTCCTACTCACCCTCAGAATTGGAGAAGAGGGGCCAGACCTTGAGAACTGGTAACCCTAGCCAGAGGAGTTTGCTTCTATATGTGGAGGAACCATAACTTGGTAGATTTCCAAATTGCACAGAAAATGTCAATTGGTAGAGGCAGGTCTTTGCTTCAGGACATCAGCCTCTTTTTAAAAGTGTGACAAAAATGGTGAGAAGGGAAACAGGGGAGAGGAGCTATAATGCTCTCCTCCTCCTCACATATTTATTCTACTTGAGTTTGGAATGCATGAAGAAGCATTAAGCCATATCCTTTGCACAGGCTACAGTATGTGGATCCTGCTGTTTTAGTTTGTTTGGATTGAACAAAACAAGTTCATTCTTGCAAGGCATTCATGAGCCTACCACTGACTTAAGGCATGGGATGACAAAGCCACACTTGATAACAGGAGATCTGTATTTTCTAGAATGAGTTGGCACCAAAGAACATATAAAATGAAGGCAGAGGGGCAAAACATAAGGTACCAATCCTCTTCTGAATCTGGCTGGAAGGAAATAAAGGGGTGAGGGGAGAGATGGTGATGAGTCCCAGGAAAATACAGTGGGCAGAATGCTCCCCCACCATGCCTTTTCACCTTGAAATAATCACCACCCCAGCTTTATTAATATTTCATGGTGCCTGCATTTGACACCAGAGCTCTGGCACAAATGGGTCATATTTCATTCTGCTCAGAAACAGGAGCATATCCACAGCATGTCATATTGTGTTTGAACTAATACTAGCAAAAAGAGAGCCTGTCAGAATGTGAAAAACAGTTTATTTTCATATAAATAAAACCAACACTCTCTCTAACTGTCCTAATTTGTCAGGGAATGTCCCAATTAATCCTCTGTTCTTCTTTTTCAGTTGCTTTTAAAATGTCCCCATATCAGTTCTGTCTTCCCATCTTATCCTGCTTTGTCAGCTGTCCAGCTGCAAGTCCAACAGCTAGGCTCAGACAAAAGCAAAATGCTGTTGCCTCTCCTAGTTTGTGTGTTCCACCTAACTGTTATCTTTGCCACCTTGACTGCATTCTTATGATGCTTGGCCACACTTGTCCAAGGTTTCATCTGTGAAATTTTGGAAAGGACAAAATATGTCTATAATGCTGATACTATAACCAAAACAAAACAAAACAAAACATTTCTGATACTATAACCAAAACAAAACAAAACAAAAATATTTAATTAATTATGCCCCCAGCTCACTAGGGGAAGTGGGAGAAAATTTTGCCATGTTCCCACCATACTATTTTATGTCAAGGTGAGGCCTTTTGTAAACCCAGTATTGACCTCCAGTTCACTTCCTAGCTAATAAAAAGCCTCTCCTGAGTCTATAAAAAAAAAAAAAAAGACTGGGAAGGCCTAAAATATGGCAAAATTACTCCTCATAGTCCCTATGAGGAGGGGAGGGGGTTATCAGTGATATTTTTTTTAAATCGTAGAAATTCAGGACACATGGAAAGCAGGTGTGGCCATCCAAGATCACAAGGGAGCCCAACCTAGACTCAAAGCCCTTGACAATTACCTGCCTCTGCTACAAATGGAAGAACTTTCCACACAGGGGTAAGAATAACCGACCAAGCAGCCAGGTTTAAAAGAACAACACAACTAACCATCTGCCCCCCCCAAAAAAAACAAACAAAGCACAGAACAATTTGTATGCCAGTGTAGTAGAGTACAATGGCCAGAGTGTTGGATTTTTTAAGATGAGAAATAGTATGATTAAAAGACACTCAGTCACAAAGATTACTGTGAGCTCAGACAACACACAGGCATGGTCACCATCTCATGTGCAGATATCAAGGACACTGGCAGTAGAATAAACACTGGCAACAGCCTAGCTCAGGGGTCACCAACCTACAGCCCACGGGCCGCACCCAGCCCAACCCCACTGACTGGCCCCTGCCGCCGCACATGTCGCGGCTGCCATTTTGTTTGCCAAAATGGCAGCTGCGGCTTCTTTCTGCATGCACAGTACTTCTGCGCATGCGCAAATGAGTCATGGCCATTTTGTCAAACAAAATGGCGGCTGCACCATGTGCGGCGGCAGCACAGCAGTGGCAGGGGTCGGCAGTGCGCATGGCAGCAGCAGCAGCAGTAGCAGTAGCAGTGGGGATTGTGTGCACGCACCGCCATTCCCCCCCCCCCGGTGGAAGCCCTGGGACCAGTGACCGGACCCAGGTAAAAAAACCTTGCCAACCCCTGGCCTAGCATAAGGGACTCAGTCCAAACTGAATGGTACACACATATAGCTCTGCCCTCCAATACCTTACATCTTCTCAACTCCCATCTCACTCAGCCTAATGGCAGGGCCAGCCTTGACATTGGCATCCTTTGAATGGTTGGGAATAAAAATGTAATAAAAGGGAGAAACAATGAATGAATGATGAATGCCTTCCAACTGCCAAGTTATTTTTTACCTCAAAAACAATGAAATCCCCAGTGGTTAAGACAATCAATGAATCAGACATTAAGCTAGTTAAGAGCTATGATTTACTTGCTTGACCTTACAGCTGGCAATTATCATGCAAAAGAAATGCATTTTGCAGACAAAGTGCAGGAAGCCACAATACTCAAGATTTTTGTAAGGCAGTGCCCATATTTTAAGGTAAAATACAAGGCTGACATTTCAGCTGAACAGTATTTAAAAGCATTTATTCTATCTTTCCAGGCCATACCCTCCTTCTTTCTCTTCCTGTCTTCCTATCAACCTCCCTTCCTAAATGGACAAAAACGTGCCTTCTTCATATCAGCTGGACCTCACCGACTCTATGTTCATCCTTGGTTCAC